ACAAATCTGTTAGAGTGGAATCACCATTTGAAATGTGAGAAATAAATCTTTGATTTTTCAATCCATTTACTTATTTTTCATTTACTTATTTCTCACGGAGACCCTGGAGCTCTTATTATGTCCTCCGGAATGCCGTGAAAGTGGTGGTAGTCCGATGTAATGCTCCTTGCACAGCGTAATCCCAAACTCAGAAGGTCCTGACGACTGTAGGTGGACTCTACTCGATGTATAATAATAAAAAACACACACATCCACACAGATACACACAGAAAAAGTAAAAAACAAAACACCGAACGTGAGGAGCAGTGAGCCGCTGCGTCTGTGTGCGCCGCCATCTTGTATGTGTAAACAGCAACGATATTAGAATGTTATTCAGACTGGAGAAGTGCACTTGGATGATAACAAAGAGAGGAGAGGTAGTCAGAACTGCAAAGGTAGACTTTCCAATCAAACATACATTTAAAATATAGTAAAATATAGTGGGGAGGTGGGGGTACATATCGGCTTTTCTAGCAGAGAGAGGAAGACAGTGATGAGCCTTGGTAGGGTTATATAAAGTCTGCACAGGTTGAGACTAAATTTAATCCAACTGTTCCAAACCTGATAAAAGACATATTTCTGATTTCTAAAACTATATGTCAGCTTTTTCAATTTAAATATTTTTACAATATTACATCATGCGAATTATCTATTGTTCGTGACCTCGGGCTTAGCCATTTTCTTGTAACAGTCTTTTTACTGCCCACCAATAGTGCCTGTAGTCTAAAGCAGGGGTGTCCAACTCCAGGCCTCAAGGTCCAGTGTGCTGCAGGTTTTAGGTGTGTCCTTGATCCAACACAGCTGATTTAAATGGCTAAAATACCTTCTCAACATGTCTTGAAGTTCAGAGACCTAGTAATGAACTAATCATTTGATTGAGGTGTGTTGACCTAGGGTGAGATCTAAAACCTGCAGGGACACCAGATTTCTGTTATGGCTGTGGTGGCTGACGCGTGGAGCGTTGAGAGGAGGACCCAAGCGCAAGTACTGACTAGGAGTGAGCTTTTTATTTTATTTTTTTTTACAGCGGCCAAACGAAAAACAAATGACAGCTGAGCATGGCAGCGACTAAACTAACAAAAAAAAAACTAAACTGGAAGGAGCATGAAACATAAAAACCTGAAACGGGGAAACATGGAACATGCAGACCAACGGCGAGAGACACAGGACTGAGAACATGAAG